AGAGAGAGAGAGAGAGAGAGAGAGAGAGAGAGAGAGAGAGAGAGAGAAAGAGAGAGAAAAAGAAAATGGGGCAATCATGCAACAATGCCTGAGGATTAACTTCCCCAAAAACCCACATTGGAAAAGAAGAAAAAAAATAACCCCACAAACTGGGTTTTTGAAATAGAATTTGGCAATGGATATTGAGCAGCGAGTGTCCTGGAATGAATAAAGTTGTTTTCGGTCAACATTTGAAGCCAAAGAATCAGTGGAGCAGACGAAATGCAGGGGGCCATAAACTGCCTTAAATAACACCCTCTCTAAAACAACTGTTCCCAATCTTAGAAATTGGAAGGTGTGTGGATTTCAACTCCCAGAATTCCCCTTTTGCACCAAGTACAGGCTGATCGGGTCACCGTACTTTTTTCCCCCTTTTCTTCTGTTCAATTTTGCACGATTCTCAGAGATTGTCTGGAAGGAGTCCCTGTGGCTTTCTTGGCAGTTTTTTTTTAAAAAAGAAGTGGTCTGCCCTTGTCTCTTTTCTAGGGCTGAGAGTGACTGGCCCAAGATCACTCAGCTAGCTTGGTGCCTAAGGTGGGACTAGAACTCCCAGTTTCTTGGTTGCTGGCCTGATGCCTCTCAGCACCATGCCAGACTGGGTCTCGTCATTAATAAACGAAAACAACTACAACAACAACCCAGTGAAAAGTATTGTGTTATAGTGAAAGGCTGTTTTATCTCCATGGCTTCTATTGATTTCAGAAATGGGGCGGAGCTTAGAAAGGTCAATCCAGTAGTATTGAAGAATGAAGCCCAAGATCTGTCCAAGGTCCTGAAAACATTCTTGATGCGGGGTGTGTGTGTGTGTCCTTGGTGCTCTCTGAGCTGGGTTGTTTCCTTGCAGAGGTTTCATGATGACCCAACTAGGGAACTTCATCAGTGCTGGAAGGAAGGAGGGGAATTTGTGGAATGGAGAAGAGGGGGAGGAAGAGGAGGAGGAGGAGAATTGTGGGGTCTTTGATGCTCTCTGAACCTGATTGTTTTCTTTCAGATGTTTCGTGACCCAACTAGGGAACTTCATCAGTGCTAGAAGGGAGAGGTGTTGATGGGGAGGAGGAGGAGGAGGACTGTGAGATCCTTGGTGCTCTCTGAGCTTGGTGGTTTTCTTGAAGACATTTCATGACCCAACTAAATAACATCATCAGTACTGATTAGTAGCACTGATGATGTTACCTAGTTGAGTCATGAAGCATCTGCAAGAAAACAGTTAAGCTCAGAGAGCACCAAGGACTACACAGTCATCTTCTTCCACCTCCTCTCCTCTCTGTAAACTTCTCTCCCATCCAGCACTGATATTGCCACCTAACTGGGTCATGAAATGTCTGGAAGAAAACAACCAAGAACTCTTCAGTTCTCCTCCTCTTCCTCCTCTTCCACCTCCTCCTCTTTTCAAACTCCCCACTCAAACTCCACCAAGGACCCCACAATTCAACCCCGAGTTACAAATATTCTCTTAAACTTGCTATGTTTCTTTGCAAGCTTGGCCCACAAATAGTTGCTTAAAAGTCCTTGTGGTTAGGAGATACTTTGACTTTGTTCGTTTTATTGATCATTCTTTTCTTGGTCGATGGCTGGAATAAAGTTCTGTCAGAGTATATTCATGAGCTGGAATAGAGCATAGTAACAAGGTCAGCCAATGAATAGGCATAGCAACTAAGTCAGCCAATGAGGACTGTTTGGAAACTGAAACTAGAAGTAGCCTAGACGTGGCTCTACCCTAAGCTCTGCAGCTCTGAAGCTATGCTGAGCTCTGAGTCTGTCTACTGAAAATGAAACTGCTTCTCTCCTCGGCTTGCTTGCTGAACTAAAGTGAAACTGAGGTCTGTTTCTGAGCTCCTGAGTTGCCCCTCTGCTCGGAACCTGTCACATGTCTGCTTCTGTCTGAGTTTGCTTCACGTTGGAGAAAGTCTACAACCGGTATTGTAAAGTTTACTTTATAAGTTTATAACGAAGTTAAATGAAGCCTCAGCCGTCTTCGTTTCCTTTTCTGACACTGAATTTACGCTGCAACACTCTGAACAAGTGCGGTCTTTTATCTTTTCTTGGGTGGCTTTGCCAACGTGGTCCATGATGCAATGAAAAGATTTCCCCCTGCGAATTCTTTGCCCCTCTTAAAGGAATAAAAAGAGGTCTTTGCCGCCACCCCCTGACAACAGTTGCCGTTAGAAGATATCAAAGGGCTGCCTGCCTTCCTTAAATTCAGGGTTGGATCCCTTGATTTATTGCAGAAGCTGGTATCTTCTTGCCTGTTTTGACAGGAACCATTAAACACTGTGAAACGGCTCCGGTTCCAGCTGTCTTACCGTCATTTTTTCCCCCTCCTATGAAATTCCACTCGGGTTTCACAAGTAGCTCCTTGCAGGATTGACATCTGTTTCCTTTTATGCTTATCATCTTGCTGAAATTAAAATTGCAGAGGGGCAGCTTCACGGTGGAGTTTTCTGCCTATCAAGTGTTCCAACATTTGAGGGGCTGCCCCGAAGAAGAGGGGGTCCACCTATTGTCCCCAAACCCCTGAAGGCAGGACAAGAAACAATGGATGGACATTTAATCAAGGAGAGAAGCAACCAGAAATTAAGGAGAAACTCCCTAACAGGGAGGACAATTAACCAGTGGAACAGAAGTTGCCTCCAGAAGTTGTGGCTGCTCCAACACTGGAGGTTTTCAAGAAGAGAATGGACAGCCACCTGTCTGGAATGGTAGAGGGTCTCCTGCTTGAAGCAGGGGTTGGACTAGAAGACCTCCAAAGTCCCTTCCAATTCTGTTATTCTGTAAGTCAAGCATCGACATACCTATTAGAGCAATTTTGAGGAAGTTGGTTTGATGGTGAAAATTCAGCATCAGCTAAGAGCTACCTTAACTCAGATTTGCTGATTGAGATGCAACGAGGTAGCGATATTTAAAGGACCATCTCAGGGTTATAGATAAGGAAATTACCAACCGCTTTCAAACGGTTGTTAAGAAAGTTACGTGGAAAATCGATGGAGTTTGCAGGGATGGTTAAAGGGACAGCTTTGATTAAAGACAAGAATACAACTACTTTTGTACTCGGAAACCA